CCGGTTAGTAGCCGGTTACATTTGTTGTTGAGCGACGGCTATTAGCCGGTTATAAGCCGGCTATTAGCCGTTTAGGTATCGGCTATAAGAGATTCAGTGAAAACGGCTATTAGCCGGTTATAAGCCGGCTATTAGCCGTTTAGGTATCGAAAGTGGTTATAAGCCGGCTATAGGCCGGCTATAAGCCGGTTATAAGATATTAACTCAACTTCATCGTACTGAACGATAGTCAGGAGCCGGCTATAAGAAATTCAGCGAAAACGGCTATTAGCCGGTTATAAGCCGGCTATTAGCTGTTTAGGTATCGAAAGTGGTTATAAGCCGGCTATAAGCCGGTTATAAGATATTAACTTAACTTCATCGTACTGAACTGAGTTAATATCTTATAACCGGCTTATAGCCGGCTTATAACCACTTTCGATACCTAAACGGCTAATAGCCGGCTTATAACCGGCTAATAGCCGTTTTCACTGAATTTCTTATAGCCGGCTCCTGACTATCGTTCAGTACGATGTAGTTGAGTTAATATCTTATAACCGGCTTATAACCACTTTTAATACCAAAACGGCTAATAGCAGGCTTATAACCGGCTAATAGCCGTCGCTCAACAACAAATGTAAGCGGCTACTAACCGACTATAAGCCGGCTTATAGCCGGCTATAAAAATTGTAGCCGGCTATAAGCCGGCTTATAGCCGGTTAGTAGCCGGCTTATAGCCGGTCGGTGATCTACCAACTGGCCGTTTTTTATGTACACTTTACTATTATTTGTATATATATGATAAAATATTATTGTAACTGCTGCTGGCTGAATTTATTATATTTCGGTGATCAACTGTCTTCCTTTGTCAATATAACCAAGAACATTATTCTGGGGTTTGATCGGTTTATAGTGGAAGGGCAACTTGGTCGTTTACCACCTGACAGTCTATGCAACGTCTATGCAACGTCCGTGCAACAACAAAAGAACCGTCTATGCAACGTCTATGCAACGTCCCTGCACAATGAACACTCTATGCACACTCCCTGCACGGTCAGTCTATGCAACGTCTATGCAACGTCTATGCAACGTCTATGCAACGTCCCTGCACAGTACCATATGAACACCGGCTACTAGCCGGCTACTAACCGGCTAGTAGCCACTTTTGTAATAACAGCTCCTCAACTTCACATTAACAACCGGCTACTAACCGGCACTTGAAAAGTGGTCACTAGCCGGCTACTAACCGGCTACTAGCCGGCTAGTGACCACAAAGTGGCTACTAACCGGCTACTAAGCGGTCACTAGCCGGCTATTAGCCGAGCTCTAAAGCAGACCTACTAGTAGCCGGTTCCAAACCGGCTACTAGCCGGCACTTAGAAAGCGGTCACTAGCCGGCTACTAACCGGCTACTAACCGGCTAGTAACCACCAAGTGGCTACTAACCGGCTACTAACCGGTCACTAGCCGGCTCTAAAGCAGACCTATTAGTAGCCGGTTCTAAACCGGCTACTAGCCGGCACTTGAAAAGCGGTCACTCGCCGGCTACTAACCGGCTACTAACCGGCTAGTAACCACCAAGTGGCTACTAACCGGCTACTAACCGGTCACTAGCCGGCTATTAGCCGAGCTCTAAAGCAGACCTACTAGTAGCCGGTTCCAAGTAGCCGGTTCCGGTGCTTAGAAAGCGGTCACTAACCGGTCACTAGCCGGCTATTAGCCGAGCTCTAAAGCAGACCTACTAGTAGCCGGTTCCAAGTAGCCGGTTCCGGTGCTTAGAAAGCGGTCACTAGCCGGCTACTAACCGGCTACTAACCGGCTAGTAACCACCAAGTGGCTACTAACCGGTCACTAGCCGGCTCTTAAGCGGACCTACTAGCCGGCACTCGAAAAGCGGTCGCTAGCCGGCTACTAACCGGCTACTAACCGGCTAGTAACCACCAAGTGGCTACTAACCGGTCACTAGCCGGCTCTAAAGCGGACCTTCTAGTTCCAAACCGGCTACTAGCCGACACTTGAAAAGCGGTCACTAGCCGGCTACTAACCGGCTACTATTTGAAACTTGTTATTTGAAACAAATTGTAAATGTAAAGCACAACGTAAATGTAAATACCACATAATCAATCAAAATGATGCTCGCAAATCTTTGCACGTGCAAGTTCCTCAGACCTCCATTGCCTCCACTGTGGCAACCCTGGTCAAAACCCTACGTCAGTGTATGACAGAAGACCTGATCCAGAATGGGGCGGGAGGAAAAATAGGAGGTGATGGTCACATCGTCGAGGTCGACGAAAGCAAGTTCGGGAAACGGAAATATAACTCTGGCAGACGTGTTGTTGGAAAGTGGTTGCTTGGAGGTGTCAGTCGAACTACTGGAGAATGTTTCTTGGTGGAGTGCCCTGATAACAGAAGGAACCATCACACCCTCCTCTCTCTGATAAAGCGTTACATCAACCCTGGTACTACAATCCTATCAGACCGCTGGAAAGGCTACACACACCTGAATCGCCATGGATATATCCACCTCACCGTGAATCATCGACGTGGATTCATCGACCCTGCAACGGGCGTGCATACAAATACCTGTGAAGGTATGTGGTACCACGCTAAGCGTCACATGAGAGGGGGGCACGAACGAACCAGGACTGATTCAGCTGCAATGGACTTGGCACTCTGTGAATTTATGTGGTTGAAGAGATTTAATCTTACACGTTCTGATGTTTCTGTTCGTAAGAGTTTTAACTTTGAGATTCCTGAGCTCATGAAAAGAACCTTTGGTTGAATAATGGGAAGTTTAATGATTATCTAAAATATATAATTGATGTTGTATTGCATTTAATGAAGTCGTAGATATATCATAATTTTGCAAACTAACCAGATTAATTGTTTTATTTCATGAGGACACTATAATTATTTATATTATATATATATTTGCTACCATTTTACTGACACCAGGGCATCAACTTTAACACGACGTTCCGCAAAAACCGTAAAAGATATAATACTCAAATTTGTTATGACTGGGTCAAATGCCTTAATGGCCTTCAAATCAACATAAAAAATAAGCAAGAATTTCGCCGCGGTCACACCACGCACGATCAATTTTCCCTGCTCAAACCGTTAATGTTTGCAATGAAAAGTTTAATCTTATTGAGTCAAAAAAAATAGGATATTGCATTATTTTGTTGTCATGTCATAAGTTACGAAAATATTCAGTAATAATATAAGTTGCTTAATTCATAAGTACAATGTTTTTAATCGTAATTTATCATTGCGCGCGTGCAGGATTATAATCGAATATTTAGTACGCCGCGCACAAATGTGGGGCTAATTTATTTAAACGGCATCGTTTGACAATTGAAATTCGCGTTGGATAAAACAATTAATTAACACATAGCTGTCGTCGCGCGCAGCAAAACAAACGCCAATAATACCCCCAATTTATGCAGAGTGGTCTATATTGTGAAGGCGCAGACTTTTGTCATAGACGTAGGATCATTTTTTCACCTCATATATCCAAACCCGATTACTTATTCCGATCCCTACGATCTTTTTGCCTTCGGCAAGAGCAGGGAAAAAAATTGGCCAAGAAATAAGAATTTTAGTGCCCAAAATTCGGACTTCCAAGTGGTGTCAAAAACGTGAATTAAATAGGTAATAATAATTTTCACTGGGAGACTTTGCGGCAGGAAACTGATCCGGCCTCCTAAAGTCTTGACATTTGTTTCAAATAATTTGTTTATTTGGCAATAATGAATTATAGCCGGTCTGATTTAGAGTCGCCTAGAGCAAGTTAGTACTAGCCGGTTAGTAGCCGTCTACTAACCAGCTAGTACCCACCAGCCGGCTAGTGACCGCTTTTCAAGTGTCGGCTAGTAGCCGGTTTGGAACTAGAAGGTCCGCTTTAGAGCCGGCTAGTGACCGGTTAGTAGCCACTTGGTGGTTACTAGCCGGTTAGTAGCCGGTTAGTAGCCGGCTAGTGACCGCTTTTCAAGTGTCGGCTAGTAGCCGGTTTGGAACTAGAAGGTCCGCTTTAGAGCCGGCTAGTGACCGGTTAGTAGCCACTTGGTGGTTACTAGCCGGTTAGTAGCCGGCTAGCGACCGCTTTTCGAGTGCCGGCTAGTAGGTCCGCTTAAGAGCCGGCTAGTGACCGGTTAGTAGCCGGTTAGTAGCCACTTGGTGGTTACTAGCCGGTTAGTAGCCGGTTAGTAGCCGGCTAGTGACCGCTTTCTAAGTGCCGGCTAGTAGCCGGTTTGGAACCGGCTACTAGTAGGTCCGCTTAAGAGCCGGCTAGTGACCGGTTAGTAGCCGGTTAGTAGCCACTTGGTGGTTACTAGCCGGTTAGTAGCCGGTTAGTAGCCGGCTAGTGACCACTTTCTAAGTGCCGGCTAGTAGCCGGTTTGGAACCGGCTACTAGTAGGTCTGCTTTAGAGCTCGGCTAATAGCCGGCTAGTGACCGCTTAGTAGCCGGTTAGTAGCCACTTTGTGGTCACTAGCCGGCTAGTAGCCGGTTAGTAGCCGGCTAGTGACCACTTTTCAAGTGCCGGTTAGTAGCCGGTTGTTAATGTGAAGTTGAGGAGCTGTTATTACAAAAGTGGCTACTAGCCGGTTAGTAGCCGGCTAGTAGCCGGTGTTCATATGGTACTGTGCAGGGACGTTGCATAGACGTTGCATAGACGTTGCATAGACGTTGCATAGACTGACCGTGCAGGGAGTGTGCATAGAGTGTTCATTGTGCAGGGACGTTGCATAGACGTTGCATAGACGGTTCTTTTGTTGTTGCACGGACGTTGCATAGACGTTGCATAGACTGTCAGGTGGTAAACGACCAACTTCCCAGTGGAAGCTGATTGGTTAATTGCAATTTCTATGATTTGGAATTATGAGTAATACAGTTGTAAGACTAAGATGCAAAACTTTATCGCATGTTCACTGTTCAGTTGCGCGGCTCCAGATTTCATACGCTAGTTTATCGAAACTGTGCAACCGAATTTTGCACGCGTTTCTTTTTACTTTCTTACCTTAGTTCCTTCAAGTCCCTGTACCCTCGAGCGTCCTGAAGTATCCCAATAGCAAGAGGGGATAGAGGAATCTTTCTGTTCCTGAAGAGAGGTTGTCGGGTCTTTATTTAAACTTATACAAACTCATGATACGGGTGTCTATAAACATCAACAATACAAGAATGTTGTTCGTATGTAGGAAATATCCCGGAATTGGTCCATATTTATACACCACTTACCCTAAGATATGCTCCAAATTCCTGCTGTCCGACAAGTAGAGAGCAAGCAGATGCAGCGACTGCAAGTGCGCGTTCTGGGGGTCCGATTCTGCTTTCACTTTTATCTTGGGTAACAGCTTATCTAGCGATCTTTTAAAGAACATCTGCTCTTTTCTGAGTACCTAAAGAAGAAATGTTCTTGGCATTCTTAGCATTCTTAGCATTGCACAAAAATGTGGTGCATTCATTGATCAATATGATACGTAAAAATATTTGATAAAATAATTTGTTAATTAATCAGCTAAACTAACCGAAACCCCATATATACCGCGCCCGATTTACCGCGGCCATCTCCATTCCCCTAAATAGGATTTAACGTGCATAATGTTAACAAACAAAACCCCGATTCACCGCGGATGTTTCATTTTCCCCAAAGTCCGCGGTTTACGCTCAAACAAATTTACAAATACCTTTTTAGCATTCAGCTTGGTAGGATCCCTCTCATACGCAGCCCTGGTAGTAACACAATCCTCCAACAGCCCTCCCTGTGACTGAGCAAACAACCCCATCTCAGAATCAAACACTTTACCCGCACTCAAGGGGCGAGCTGAACTACCTCGCAGTGTGGTCCGTGTGTGTAGTGACCGGATAAAAGCAAGTTGTGACGTCACGTGGGGTTGTGATGACGTCACGTGGTGTTGTGATGATGATGTTGTTTTAGGGCAGATGAGACGGGGAGCGTGGAGGTGGAGAAGACCTCGTTTTGATTGTGAACTGTTTGTAGCCGGGTTTTTCTGACATTCCACTGAAATATTTGATAGTAATATTTTTGTAATTTTGTCTGTTTAGAAAGTGTTTGGTTTGCTGGTCCCTCATTAGTAATTATCTAATATGCTGGGGAAATCGTTTCATTTCCACTTTAATATTATTGATAAACGTTTATATCGCATGTTAGTAGAAGAAGATTGCTTTTTTTATATAAATAAAAGAAAAAGAAGAATGGATAAAAACCTCTGCTGACGCATGATTCTTTGTAAATATCAGAAGATCTTATCTGTTGACTTAGAGGAAGCAGAAAAACATCGCCAGATAGTGTAGTTAGGTGTGAGGTGTCGTCTCCCTTCACTACATTAACAATAACACCTGATATTGATACTGTAGTTAAATAGGTACTCAACTAAATTAACTTAGACATAAATACTAATTGTTACCAAATCAGATTACCAGCCTAATAAAATTAAAATACTAAAACAATTCTACATATTATTAATTAAGTATTTAAGTAAAACTGACCTGATTTAAGTTTGTCTGCATGTAGTAATAGCAGTGTAGCTAGTCTGTTGCTCTGTTCCGTCGTTAGTTCACCTCTACTTGTCTTACCTGAGAATGTCCATTATTATTTATAATTCTACGCGGATAACTTTATTGAGGTTTAGGTAAGCGGGCAGTCAGTAACTTCATAATAAGCTCTGAAACGTTTTACACTAAATTTGGGGCCACCATATAATTCTAAAATACGTATATTTCGTACCTGTATTTTGGGAAGATTGTTTAGTTTTTCTGCCTCTTGTCCGAGCTCTTTGAAATGAAGTGTGGTTATAATTGCTCCTGACAGCAGATAAGACTGATTCTGATAGAGTTGTTAATGTGGGGAATAGTACCCCTGATGCCATCCTGACAGAGAAGAATACATACAGCTACAGGTTAGATATAAACTAATTACAACACTACAAATCTATTACATTTATTGAGGACGTTACAGAGGGAATTGATTTAGTTGGAGGAGTCCTAACTCTCCTCACGTCCGAAAATGGCGTTTCTCTTGTATCAAATATGAGTCATACTTGTAGAAATTATTGTTGAATAGATAATGCAAGTTTAAATGTCAATAATTGCAAATTCTTTAAAGTTTATTTAGAAAACTATCCGGAAAGTGCTGTTTATTAGATTAAATGGAATAAAAGCTTAAAGACAATGCTTTTTAGGTATAAAAAGCCGAGTAAAACATATTTACAGCTTCATAAAAGGATACATAAAAATTTTAAAAATCAATATCTCAAACAGTATGATAATTGATGTCAAACTTTACTCTAACACACTTCAATTATTATAGATTCTTGAAAGAAATGGAAACATGCTTTGAAATTAGATAAATGTAACTTCTAAAAACTATTTATAAATAATTTATAAAGAATCATATAATGCAACAATAATCTATTTAATTCGTCTGTAGTCTGTAGCGAGTTAGTCAGTAAGTTTTAATTCTCAACTTGTTTCAAAGCAATGTTTTGTGACTACAATAACATCAGATGATAACGGGTTCATACCAGATACCAAACTTTTCTCCAGGTCTTCCCCAAGTCTGCATTTAATTTGTAATATTAAAGATAAAACGAAAATCGAAACCTCTAAAATCACATAAATCAGTGTTTTGATTCCTCCTCAAGAGGCGGGAAGCTGAATTCATGGATTTTATCATCAGAAAGTTCCTGCAACATATCAATATTATCCCACCACCCAGTCAACATGGACCTCGCAATGATCCTAAACCAGGGAGTAACCGGAAACTCCTCCTCATCTTCCAACAACCCCTCCAGCTCACCCCTCGATATATACCTCGTCTCACTAACCTCGTTAGGGTTCGGAACAAACTCCACGTCCTTTTTCACGATCAACACGTGATCAAGCTCGTGTTCACCCCACGTGGTGTCACTACCGCACGTGCCACCGCTCGCGCCGAAATATATAATCCTAGTCATGAAATGAATGTCATCATAGGAAATATCCGTGATACCCATCTCATCTTTTACCCGACGTATAGCAGCATTTTTAGCCCCTGAAGTAAAGTCCCGTTCTCCCGGTATCGTGGAAAGAGGGTGTGAACAACACGTGTTGGTGTAGAGGTTCGGGAATGTAATCTTCTGAGGCGACCTCCTCTGCATTAGTAGCTCGTTTTTAGAGTTGAAGAGAAAGAGACTGAACGCTCGGTGGAGCATGCCTGTTTTGGTGATGTTACTCATGAGATGCGCGTCTTCTTTGCTGGCTGCTCCGATTATGTTGTCAGATCTGTCTACAAGCATGACTTTTTCTTTTAGTAGTGCTGTCTGGATCGGACATAGCTGGGTTAGTCTCCTTATTTGTGTCATTAGGAGCTGAAGTAGGTGTTAAATTAGGTGTTCAATTATTTGAAGTTCTAAAGTAAGTAAGTAGTTAACGTGGTGAGTATTTCTAAATTTAAAATTATGTGAATTATCACATGGTTCAATACGCCACACACCGAGATTTAGTTTACAAACATCTAATTAGGACACAGTAAGTAAACAGGATGAAATATAAAACGGTCACGAATATCTCTGCAAATGTGGAATAATTTTCAAGCTAGCGTGATGTAAATATCCAAACGGATTATCACAATGATTGAGGACAGTTGTAAGTTGACTGTGGGTCGTATTGGTTCCTTATTAGTCCCGACGTGCGCAGAAGTTCAATTTTATTTTTACCACCCGTAGCGGTAAACAGGTCAGGGATGACAATGAAGCATTCACCCAGACAATAAATTAAACAGTGTTCTCTGATACCTCGCATACTGATCATTTTCTTGAACGACCTCTTGATTGGGTAAAAGTTAAATTATGTCAAGAAGAAGGGAGTCCCTCGCTGGGGAGTCTGGAAGGCCGGCCTCCTTTAAATATTGTTCTGCATTCCTCTCCAGTTAAAGTTTTGTATTCGATTAGGAAATCTCTAAGTCTTGCCCATTGAACTTTGTGCTTCGACAACTCTCCCTTCACTGCTTTGTAGCGTTCCTGATTCGGTGAATATATTTCACTTATCGATTATAATGAAATGATATTGGGAGCGAAGAAGTTAGAATTCGTCTTAGAAGGAATAAGGTGTATAACGCCAGTTGGTTGATATATTCGTTTGTTGTGAAAATAAAAGTTTCATAAATAGATAAATCGCATCGGTAATATCTTGTTATTTCAAAATGGGATAGAGAGATCCGCCTCAGAGATCAACCCATGAAAATATCCAAAAATATCACGTGAAAAAATAAATATTTTGTCTCACGTAAAAACAATAACTTACATCAAGAAGAGCCTTGATCTCCCCCTGAATCATCTCGTTAGTTTCAATGTTCTTCATCTCAGAGTCGGAGTATCTCACAAATCCTGAAAAATGAGCGGTGAAAATAATAATAACTCATATCTACCGCGTATTGACTAACTGAAAACTGAGTTTGAAAGGAATTTTGGAATGTGGCCAGAGAGTTATGAACTCAAATAAAAAGGTTTGAACTAAGTGTTTAAATTAGTTGCGCAGACATTCAGGATAAAGCACACAATTTGTCAGAATTTCGGTCCCACATCAACATTTTAAAAACGCCTTGTGTTAAAAAAAGGTGGATTCGGAGTTTCTGATTGGACGACCAGACCACAATGTAGATGCTTTTAAACCAAATGAGCGGAAAATTACATACATAAACAATAAAAAGAGTAGCAACACGGATGAACTTGATGGAACTAAAATATAGATTAGCGGTGTAAACAAAACAATGTAAAAGTGGAGAAATTTGCAGTATCACTTTCCGTTCAATAAATCCGAAAATAAGATGACCTCAGTTAGAGGAGAGTAACAAAAAACGAAATTCAACTCAAATAACCTTGTTTAGAACTATAACCATTCTCCTCGATAAGTATACGAGCAAATCTGGTGATGTTACTCATATCTGCAGCACACCCTGTAGTTATCTCTCCCTTGTCCTGAATGGTTATATAATCGTTTAAACGTAGCCTTAATTCAATACATAATCTGTTTATTGGGGCAATAAACTAAAGATCTTTAGCCGTAACCGTGGGAATTTTGAGGAATTGACTAAAGAATAATTAACGATGTGTTATTTTGCAAAAGACTTGACAACTTTTCCAAGAGTGAGCCAGACCTGGTTCAACAATCATGAAATAATACAGGGTGGCCCATAAAACACTACCCATCCTTATCTCTTAAAATTGTTACAGTTCGCTGAGATCTTGCTAATTATTTTAAAAACAAAAAGTGGCATAACTTATGTTCTGATAAATATTTTTGCTTCTAAATTTCACAGAATGTTAATAACAAGTAGCTAAACCTTTGTGGCAAGTTTTGTGTGAGTGTGAGCTTCACTGAGCTTATTTGACCAATTTAGCCCCTGAGCGAGCTAGCTTGAATTTCTCACCTAGAACTGTTTACATTGGAAACCACCAAAAAAATGCTGGGTAAAAAAATCAAAAAACCAGCGATTTATTCACGTTTCACCAATTCTATTCACCATGATCCATCGCACATTCCATGTGTACAGTGTACATCCTATATTTTAACTGATAAGGACTATCACAGATGATCCTTCCTGCTTGTTTATATCGTTCTTCTCACTTGCCTTGACAAGGAATGTGCGATGGATCATGGTTAATAGAATTGGTAAAACATAAATAAATCGGTGGTTTTTTAATTTCTTTACCCAGGATTTTTTTTTGTGGTTCCTATTAACCAATGTAAACAGTTCTGGGTGAGAAATTAAAGCTAGCACGCTCAGGAGCTAACTTTGTCAGAAAAGCTCAGACTCACACAAAATTTGGCACGAAGTTGTGTCTAATTATGATTGACATTCTCTAAAAATTTTAAACAAAAATATTAATCAGAACGTAAGTTATGGCGCTTTTCCATTCTGAAATAAAATAATTAGCAAGATCTCAGCGAACTGTAACAATTTTAAGAGATAAGGATGGGTAGTGTTTTATGGGCCACCCTTTATTAAGCAAAAAAATAAGTGTTAAAGTGTTAAAGTAAGTGTTAAACCAACCCCTGCGTGGAGGACTTCCTCAGCAGCCCTACCACCGAAACCAATATCAATAAACGCGATCAGTTGGTCGTTGTCGATAGCGTATGTGTCTTGTTTGTATACGCTGAACACGTGACCCATCGTCACACCACGTGGTTCTATCGTTGCTAGGTAGATCTTCTTCTCAGTTACTTCCTCCTGTATGGCAAACGGATAATACCTTGTACACTATTTTTATTTATTAATTTAACCAATTATTTAGCCTTAAAATTTAGGGCGCTTCAAAATGTTGTTCTGAGTCGAATCGGTGGCAATATTTGTCGTTTTCACAGAGATTAGTATTGCATATTTAAATGTTCCAGCTTCATTCACTCACCCTAAGAAGTTCCATAATAGCATGACCAGCTTCGTGTGATGCGATCTTGAAAGAATCTTCCTCGCTTATGCAAAGACTAGAGTCCACCCCTCCCATCAGTACCTTTGCTCTTGCAAATTCCAGATCGTCCTAAAATTATGTAAAATCTAGAATAACTGTTGCATCATTTCTTTTATCGCATACACAGAACCACAATCAAGTTATTTAATCGTGACGTGCGCGCGCATGCATGCACTCGAATCCGACACCTTTTGCGCGTTAAAGGCTGCAATATTTTTGTCGCGTGGTCCATATAAAATCAAAAGAAGACCCTCTCACCAGGTACATCTGTGTGAACTGGTGAGAGTCTCACCAGTTCACACAGATGTACCACAAATATTGAGTTTAAGAGTACTGATTAATTGCTATTAGATACTCTCTTCAAGACGTGACCTTGATTGATCACAGAAAGAATCGCTCTCTTTGTGTCGGGAAAATGTCCATGTTAACATAAGATTGAGGGGAACATAGGCAGCTGGCAGGGTCTGAAGTCAAATACAACAAAATGGAAATTACATGCGTCACTGAGGTTGGAGAACTAATACAAGTCTGCTTGGACACGTGATAGCGAATGACCAATCAGCACCAAGCATCAAGCAATGATATCACCGAAATGATGTCACGTGTAAAAACAAATTGCACCATAACCTCGCCATTACTAACACCACAATCCTCTCCAAATTTAGGTACCTGGTCGATTTTCTCCTTGTTCTTCTGACAAGCTCGTAGTCCTGCCGTGTTGACCAGTGTGGCCAGCTGTGCTCCGGACATGCCTACACAAGCTTTAGCTAGGTACTCCAGGTCAACATCAGCGTCTATTTTCTTATTCCTACAATGCACCTTCAGAATGCTCACTCTGTCCTGGAATCAGACATTGAGTAAGATCAGGGTTGTGATTTAAGGTTCTCTCTTTTTTTTAAAAGGTTTTAAGGTTTTCTTTCGGTGTTTTTTAAGGTTTTTTCAGTGTTTCCTGCGGTTTTTAAGGTTGTTTTTTCAAGTTGTCCTGGAATCAGACATCGAGTAAGATGGAATAATTTGGAAGTGACGAAGTTGGTTATATATAATATTTTATTGACTATGTTGCTGCTACTTCAGGTCTACAATGATGCCTCCTGTCCCTACACTCAAATAAGTCACGGCAATTCTCGCCATGTTCGAGATTTTATAAACAAAATAACATGAAAGAGATGAACAAATTCTTTCTCTTTTTAAAAGAAATCTCAGAAAAATAAGTGTGTTCAGAAAAATAAGCGTTTTTTTCCGTAACAACATACTTTGTTAGAAGGGGACAGCATAGTGATCTTATTATCAAATCTTCCCTCCCTAACAAGCGCGTCATCCAGCGCATCAGGGTCATTAGTTGCAGCTAATACTACTACCCCTTCCTGCTCATTAAAACCGTCCATTTCCGCTAACAGCTGGTTTATTGTAGCTCTGTTACCCGAGAATCCTGGGGTTATATTTATTGATAACTGGGTTTAGAGTTGATTTTAAGGAATTTATACTTAAAATTAATAGTATGTCATTCATTCCTTCGTACTCATTGTTCTAGAATGTTTGTCGTGCTATTAACTTAACTATATACTTCAATTTAGTTAACTATTTAATTAACCCATTAAATTACTCACCTCGTTTCATTCCGACGGTATCAATCTCGTCTATGAAAATGATGGAGGGAGCAGCTTCTTTAGCAGCTTTGAACAAACCTCTCACACGCTTAGCTCCCATACCCACGAACATCTGATCAAACTCTGATCCTGTAGAACATGGGGTTATATCTTAGAGACTTATCCTTCAACGTCGTGATATGACGCTTTATTGTTTGAAAAACTTGTAAAACTAGTTTAAATTTTAACAAATTCTTGGGTACTATTTTCATAACTTGTACACAAATACATATTAGCATTAAGTACCTGACGCAAAGAAGAAAGGAACACAAGCCTCGCCAGCAAGAGCTTTAGCTAACAGTGTTTTACCAACACCGGGGGGTCCTAAAGGTTAGAATTAGAAATGTTTGAACAGGAAAGAATAACAGGAAGATTTATGAGATGTTATTTGATTGTTTGTTAGTCATTAGTCAACAACTTGGTTCAACATTCCACAAGCATGAATTAATAGTAGTTGGGTTATAGGTCCTATCAAATCGCACGATTAACCGCTAACGAATAAACAAATCAACTTCTTTGCTCGAATTAAAAGAATGAATTACCGGAAAGTAGAACTCCTTTCGGAATCTTACACCCCATGGCAGCAAACTTCTCCGGTTCAGTCAGGAATGTAACGAGGTTCTGCATTTCCTTCTTTGCTACGTTGTTCCCCGCAACGTCGTCAAATGTTTGTGTAGGGATTGTTGCCAGATAGTCTTTCTAAGGGAACATAAGATTAATTTACATTTTTGTGCCACACAAAACACATTTTGTGGTCTCTTTTGTGGCACATAACATCATTAAGTGACATTTTGACTTCCTCCGGCTCCGGTAAAAGTGTTCCAAAAGCATGAAAAATAAATGCTGAATATAAAGCTTTAAACAACTCAATTTCTAGCTACAAAGTACATTCAATGACAAGTCATAACTTACAGTTGAAAATGGTCCTCCTTGGGACATCCGTGGGAAAAGATTGGTGATGAACAGATAGAGAAGATAAGGAACAACTACAAACATTATTATCTTTCTTATTATGTCGTTCACCGCTACAATAAACGTGATCTGAAACAAATAAGTACTTTATAATAAAGTATTATAATATCAATTGTCGGGAAAATTGGTGATACAATGAAACGAACAATTATGCAATAAGTCCGATTACTCATCTCATGATAATTACTAAAATATCAATACAATATAATCACAAAAGGAGGAGTCGGCTGTAAAGTTCTTGAAACAATTCACAGACATAAAACAGATAAGTTGGGTTTAACTAAGCCGTATTCATAAAAAGTTGGAAAAAGTTGGAGTTCATGAATATTACCAATTTTAAAATAAATACCTTCCAACTACCTTTTGCTGAGGAATTGTAACCTAACCCTAGGCTTAGGTAACCTTAACCCTAATTTTTTATGCCGACAAATCTCACGCCGTAGAGTCCGAACCCTGAATACGATTATGATGCAGTCATAGATACGTTCAATATGATACAGGCAGTGCGAGTAACCGTTCCAGACATGATTCTAAACGCCAGTGCCTGCACTCGTTTATCCTTCCCCACGATGGTACGATATATCCATAAAGGCATGGTGAAGGAGGTTCTTCACAAAAGAACCTCCCAATCATGCCCTTATGGAAATTTGCTGCTTTAATGAGACGATGATCAGTCCTCTGTCATAAATACCAGGGCAATCTTAGCACAATACAACGCAGGAAAGTTCAACTAGTTCAGTCACTTGTGCAGTGATTACATAGAACCTTGGAGGGGGTCGTTTAAAACATACTTGAAGTGATACGAATGTTTATTCAGTGCCAGGATCTTAAAGCAGCATCTTGTCTGCTGAGCCACAATCCGTTTTTACTCTTTAAAGCTGTTGTATGTGAGGAGCATCTTAACAGTACTCAGCTCGTTTGAAGACCAAATAAAACTGCCGCACAGATTATCAGGGGAGAAGTTGTCAAAATGAGGATCATCTTGATGATCGTGTTGGTAGCCTGCCAGGTAACTGCAGTTACTGCTAAAGTTCAACACATTTTACCATGGTCACCAGGAGAAATATCACCACTGAGAGTCACACAATCAAAGACTTTTAACAATGAACAGGGGTTCAAGGAAACACATGCGATCGACAGGAATCTTATGACCGAGTCAGTTGCTGAGGCAGTCAATGGAAAAGTCTGGTTCAAAGTAGAGTACGGGAAAAGTCACTTCATTCACAAAATTGTGATCTACCATGTCTTCTTCAACGCTGACTTTTACGATATTAATACATGGTGTGTGATGACCATGGAAAACTACAGGACTTGTAAAGATAATAACAATAATGTAGATGTGTCAGTGTACCAAGGAGAAGAACACCAGAAGTCCTGTGGAACCCTCCAAATGTCATACGGACGAGAACGCTCAGATCAGACCTATACCTTTTTCTGTGATGTTGAAGGAGATTCTATACGACTTTCAAAGGAAACTTTACGTATTTCAATCTTCGAGATAGTCGTGACCAGTTCCCAAGGTGAGTAGTTATACTTCAGAGCTCTTCCTTATCCCTGTATCTTATCTTATCCCATTATCTTATCCTATCCCTGTATCTTATCCTATCCCTGTATCTTATCCTATCCCTGTATCTTATCCTATCCCTGTATCTTATCCTATCCCTGTAATCTGTATCTTATCCTATCCCATTATCTTATCCTATCCCTGTATCTTATCCTATCCCTGTATCTTATCCTATAGTCATATCCCTGTATCTTATCCTATCCCTGACTCTTCCGTTATCCTGACATGACTCTTCCCTACCCAGGACCCTGTCCCTAACCCTGTATCTTATCTAGCTGGATAGAATCAGATCCTAACCCTAGCTCTATAAATACCTTTACCTGATCCCAATTCCTGAACCGATTCTTACTTTAACTCAGATATAATAACAAAAGAGTTATTAAACGTTTCATCACCGGAAACATGGTGTAACAGTTGATATTATGTTACACACTTGTTGTCTCAGCAAGACATGTAAAATGAAAAGTAATTGATAATATGTAATCGTTATAGATGTGTTTTTGTTGCTAAAACTTTCTTCACCACTTTCAGCAAAAGATTGTTCCGATTTTTTAGACACTAATTAGTAAAATGTAGCTTGTTGTTCAATTAAATAATAATTTTACGACGAATTTGTCAGGAGGAAGTTGTTCCTCGCTGAAAGATAAACATCCTATTTAAAACCGGAACCTTCTGTGATCTTTACAGCCAGAGATAAATTAAAATTAGCAACTACCTTGCTTAGCAAAAGGTAGTTGGTATTAATAAAAAGATTTGGTATTCATGAAATGAACACCAAAATTATCCAACTTTTTATTAATACGAAGTAAAAACTAATTACAAATAATTATAATTACAAATAGCGGTGGAGCGTGAGGTTGGTTATTAGGGTTGACAATAAGTTTCATGCCGGTCAACTCTCTTGCTCGCTCATATGTCTGGATCGACTGAGGGAATATTTTAACTTTGATTTAGATTGATAAATAACCAACTTGTATCATTGCATTGTGATGGTATTGTGCTTTATAATTAACATTGTTATTTCAATGTACCCCATGATTTGCAAAGATGACACACAACTTATCATATCAATCTAAATGATCACCTCTTTGTTAAGAGCAAACTTCCCACTTTCAATCCTCCTGATCACAAAAGCAGGATCCTGGACCATAACGGACTGTAAGAACACGTGCTGCGCATGCGCATCACCCGGGTTGTTGTTAGCGTGTTGTTCTAGTTTGTCTGTTTCTTCTCGTCTTGTTTGGTAGTGGTGCTTGATAAGCAATACCTGGCGGTGGAGTTACATTGTGAATAATATCTAAGTGCTATTTATAAAACTTAAATAATTGAATTTTGATCTTTATTACAGATTATACATATCATATATAACCATAAAAGCTGAGCGTCGGCTGATCACCTCAACTTGGATTAATAATAATTTCAATTGACAGAGGCTGAAGGATGGCAAGGACTCGAGTGCCAGTAATGGCTTTTCCGGACCCCTTTTTGTGATTGGCACAGTGGTCCTAGTGAGCCGCACCCTACTGCTAAATAGCACTTAAATAAGAATTATAATCAATTAAGGTGAAGGACCTTCAAAGCTCAAAGCTGTCAATTAAACTCAAACTTACACTTTGAGGGTACCCATGTCTGTTTATTGCAGCTCTGCATTGATGATTTATATTTCTCAAGGCAAGTCGCCCACCATTTAGCATTATCTGTAGCAAATGAAACACTCTTGTAATGTACAATTTCAAGAAATTTTCCTCTGCATATCAGACACTTATAACTGTAGTAGCTATATTGTACAATTTCACCTCTCAGTACATTTTATCAGGATTGAGACTGTGAACATCTAAAGCAAAATACACCTGTGTTGTCTGCATACAAATAAAACAAGAAATCATATTTTGCGACAATGAAGGAAAACAAAATTTAAGGAAAACAAAATTTAAATTGTATTGCCATTACAATGAATAATGATATCATAATAAATATAAGTAGACATCTGATAATAAACTTGTTAGGTCCAGTACAACCCAAGATGCCGCCCGACTAACAAAATAAAAAGAGCTAGCATGTTCATAGTCCTTCAAACGTGCATACTTAGGCTGTACAGAAATAGCTATAATTCTACATCTTACTATATATAAAGCGAGACGATATGGGGTCGTTCACATATTGTGTAATCAGCCGAGGGGGGAGGGGGGTTTCCAAATGTTTATGGTTGATTACGGGGGGGGGGGGGGGGGTTTCGGCCGTTGATTACGTAATCAAAATTTTCTTTTTAACCCTCTAGAATAATAACAATTTGACAATATTTTAATTCAAATTCCACTCAATTTCACTCTGATGGTGATAAAATTTAGAAATTGATCGAATATCCGGCTATAATAGTAAGTAGTTTAGAAGGTGCTTGGCCGGATATCATAACAATGATTTCGGCTCATCATGATAGCATGATCAGGATAGCATGAAACGTAGAGAAAAGTGTTTTCTAGGAAAAAAGTGAAGGGGGGGGGGGGGGTCAGGCCATGATTACGTAATATTGCTGTCAGGAGGGGGGGGGGGTTGGGTCTTGATTACGGTTGATTACGGAAGGGGGGAGGGGGTAAAAATTGCTAAAGTATTGATTACGTAATATGTGAACGACCCCTATATATATATATATTTTTTAATACTTTCAACACTACTATATAACAAATAATTTGAGAATGAGACATGTAAAGATTATACAATCGATAGCTTAATGTGAATTTCGTGTTTTACTGTTTCACTGAATGTCTCAAATATATATACATGGATCCGTGCCATTTTACTGACACCAGGGCATCAATGAAACTAATAAAATCAATTTCCACAGAAACCGTAAAAGATATACAATTGAAATTTTTTTACTGGGTAAAATGCTTTAATGGCCTTCAAATCAGCATGAAAAAATAAAAATTGGCCAACGAATAAGAATTTTAGTGGTGTCAAAAACGCGAATTAAAATAGTCTTGACACCACATTAGGGTTAGACGGGATCCTGCTAGTAATATTAAAAACTCAACATCATTTTTGAAATACAAAAATTAATTTTCTCAAATTTAAAAAATATCAACAGTCAATATAACCGAAAATATTCTGATTGGCAGAACACAGTATGTTAAAAGAATTTACTTATAATTCTTTTGCTGCTAAGTGCGGCACTGCGCTTGACCCACATGCTATACAGAGTGTAGCAAAACCGTGCCGAAAATGGAAAAACTAGCGGTGCGCCGCGCCTAAACCATAAACTCTAAATATTGTTAAGATAAACGGGATATTGCGAGATAATTAGCATGCTGACTTCGTAGGATATTGCAATTATACCCATTCCAGTTCAAGATGTGAGTCAGCGCTTAAACCAAAAGCAGTTGGCAAAAGGAGCCAGTTGCCTGTAAGAGCTTTACTAACCCCTGAATTACCACTCTTGGAGCACAAACTCAAGCCTAAAACTGGCCGAACACAAAAATATGTTATCGCCACGATTGGGTGGATTTATTCCCAGGATATTTATCAGCACGCAGCACTAATATGAAGTTCATTATCGAATTGTAGTTAAATGGCGTATATAGAGCGTTTTACATATATATAAGTTGGTCATTAGAAAATAATTAATGTTTGGTACGGGTATATGCCTCACAGAATGGCCAAAAAAAAGAAAGGTCTCTCAAAATCACAAAACACACTTTATTCCAGTTTTTATCTCATAAGAAGCTAAGTTGACACTCATATTTTTCTTCCTGGGGCCGGGGTTGATTTAATCTCATAACCATTTTTTCTTTGAGAAAAATTGGCCGGAAAATCTTCCTCCAAAAAAACATGCCTCACAGAATGGCCAAATCTGAATTTCTATAATTTTTTGATAGAGATACTTTTTAAATTTCTATCACCACACGTTGTTAGAAAACCTATTAAGGAATGGGGTAATAACCTAAAACTCACGAAAAATCTGAGCTGTGAAAAATTATTTCACAAACAAAAAAAATGACTCACAAAATGGCCAAAAAAAAAAGAAAACGAGAAAATTTTATTTTTCTAAAACCTTTGGCTCTTGTTTCAGGCATGCTGCTGGTATAAATATGCCTTGTTAACACCCCCATATAGGTGAAATTTCTTAGAACTGAATAAAAAGGGCATAATTTCCTACACCAAAAATTGCCATTTTGTTCATATTCCCTGATTTCATGATTTATAACCTTCATTCGGCTGTAAAAACACTCCATCTGGGGTGTTATTGTATGATAAATAGCTTGTGAATACTTTAGACCATCAAAACTAACATGTCTACATCAATAGAAGGAGTTTTATATTTTGGCCATTTTTTGAGGCATATTTTGGCCATTTTGTGAGGCGTGTAGCCATTTTAGCGTTTTTTTCTTCCTATATTGAACAGTGTTCGTTTTTTTTGATGACTACTATTCTTTAAACATCTTCTGTCATACTGGTGCCAGAAGTTCTCACCAAAATGCAAACTTAGTTCAACAATTTGAAAACAAATTTTGTGAGGCATATTTTGGCCATTTTGTGAGGCGTGTATCCATTTTAGCATTTTTTTCTTCCTACATTGAACAATGTTCGTTTTGTTTGATGAATACTATTCTTTAAACATCTTCTGTCATACTGGTGCCAGAAGTTCTCACCAAAATGCAAACTTAGTTCAAAAATTTGAAAACAAATTTTCAGTGCTCAAAATTTCTACATAAACAGTAATATTTATGCCAGAAAATGTGGTCCTAGTTAATGATTTCACCACAGGAAGTGTTGCCAGAAGACTTTTGTTTCATATGGTATCCACAAAACCTACCAGTCTTATACAAAAAAATAGTTACAAAAACATTTACAAATTTGGCCATTCTGTGAGGCTAGCCATTCTGTGAGGCATATACCCGTAATCGATATTAATTAATTATTTAAAATAGTCCGTTAAGGTATTTGGTACCACTGTACCAGGTTTGACAGAATGCAGCGACAGGAAGACAGGGACACGGGCAGTGGCGTAACGTTGCCTGTTGGCCCCCCCGCCGAAAAGGCGCCCCCCTGTTGGCGCCCCCTCCCCTTTTGGTGCCCCTCCCTAAAATTCAATGAAACAAGAAATTCAATGAAACAAGAAATTTAATTTTAGCACATTTTACAGAATAAAAAGATGTAAAACAATTCATAAAATATAATGCCCATTTGGTGTATGACTTTTTGTCCTTGACTGCTAGTTTGGTTTTGGAAGGACAGGTAACTAACGGGGCAAGGAATGCGCGTGCCTGAAAGCTTTTGCACACACCGAAACGCTAGTTCAGTTAGGTTTTTAGAGACAAGGCTCATATTAGGACTAGAAGAAATTTTTTAGTAGACATTAGGGGTTTTGATTGAAATAAATTTTCGTGCACATACAGAATGAATGGTTAATAATTTAATATATATGTAGACCAAGGTCTGTGCACGGGATGCTTCCTGGAAGAATCCAGTTCTTTTAGCGGGGCACCCTACCTAAAGCCAAATTGAGATATAATAATCATATTCCTAAGAAATAATCAGAAATTGAATACCAATCAAATAATATGATATATATGAGTAGTAACCATATTTACTATGCAAAATGCCCCAACCACATAGTGTAAATTTATATAGAATTCAAATTCCATATCATCATTAAACCTCAATACCTAGTCAATATAATAGCCCAAGCAAAATTAAATAACTTCTTATGTACCTTACTGTCATACTACAAATTAATTAAACATTTGAAATCTGTTGACCAGAGAATAAATTTCTAAGCCTAATGCAAGTGAAATAATTTAGATGCAATAATGAATGCCTAATGTGAGTATCATTTGTCAATGTCCTTGTAAAAAAGTCTGTACAAGAGATATGAGTAACTAATATAGAAGAAAAAACAGGAAGTTGTCGTCTGTTGTAAAATAAATAAAATATCTAGAATATAAATTAGAATATAAAATAACATTCAGTCAATGTGTCGTCAATAAACTGTACAATTATCAAATGTTAAAACTGGGTGATACAGTCACCAAAAATAAATACTAAGTATGATAAGTTAATAAATTAAATGTGGTCTATAAAACTACCACTAAGTATAATAGGTCAATAAATTAAAAGTGGTTTATAAAACTACCACTGTGGGAACCCCTTCTCCAGTTAAAACATGTCAGTCATGTGCAAAATCAATCAGAATGGTAAGGTGGTAAAAAAGGGAATATCTTTTCGATACATCAATTATATAATATGCCTCAGATTTAAAAGAATTAGAAGTTACTTAGTTATCGTCGACTATGATTGCAGTGTAAAATTTGTCATATGAATTGTCGACGGTATAATTAGGGTCTGTATAATTAGGGTCGGTATAATTAGGGGTTCTGTTTATAGTTGATACTATAGGTTGCAGTCTTGTTGTGACAAAAAGCCTACACTAAAACATGCTTTAGTTTATATTGTGTAGTTCAAGGATATAAAATGTAGCTTCAAGGTGGATATTAAAGAGCTGGCGAAAGATTATGGCCTTTGTATCAATGGTTATAACTCATTTCGTTCGCATTACAGATTCACATTCACTTTCATTTTCACTATCACGCACAGTACAGGGTCATACCTCAATACCAAATTATTATAGGGCACAAGAACAAATTTGTTTACAATTATCAAAATTTGTTGAGCCCAGCAGCTTACTTCCTATCCTCTCTTCCCCCGTCGTCTGGAGCGTGTGATTTTTGTTGATATCCGAGCTCTTGTTTTTATCTTTTGGTTAACTTTCTGTGATTGGACTCGGTATTTTCGTCCCCGCCGAGTGGGACGATGCTTGCTCGCCAGTTAAGCTATACTTT